ATGAATAGTAAATCCCGAAAATTTCTTGATGAACAGTTTCGAATTTTGTGCTAGTGTCTTAATAATTTTAATAATAATAATAATAATATTGGTGGACCCGATTTATGCAATAAATCATTGAAGAGTCATTAGTTAAAATAAAGTCTCAAATGGTGAAACATATATAAATTGAACCATCCTAAGAAGAGTCATTAGTATGTTAGCCCACATGCAAATTGAGTTGGCTAACAAGGTACATTATCAAGCTGGCTCGTAAGCCAAATTATCGAGTTGGATCATAATCTAGCTCAATGAGTCATCTAGTTGAGCACAAACTTTATTCTGTAAGTTGTGATTGTTAGAATTGTGTCTGTTGAATACATGTATTGTGCACAATACAATGTTTGGAAGTGTTAAAGTGTAAAACAATGCATGCATTGTTTTAGGTAGGTCCCACCAACAATCATAAAAAATTATGCATTATACAATCTCAACTAAAAGTTGAGATTGTTGGTTTTAGATTTGTGTCAACTTTTTCTTTCCATTTATATCCCTAAAAGTTTTTGTCTTATTCTAAAAGTTGAGGATAAAGTAACTTTATGTAAATTAATGCATAAAGTAGAATCTCAACAACCAAACAATGTATTGTTAAAATGCATCCATTGTATCAATACATGCATTTATGTTATGGTGATTCATTACAATGCAACGATTTAATATTCACAACTTCCAAACGAGCCCTTAATTCAAACTAGACTCATTGATAAACAAACGAACTAACAAGCCAAATCATTGAGTAACGAGTCGAGCACCGGACGAGTTTTACTCGACCATTATGAGGAAAGCATATGAAATTTGCATAGCATCCATGTTAACGAACTAATCACTTGATCTCAATAACTCGAGTTGTTTGGAAAGAGTTTGTTAAGCCTTTAATATCTTACACGCCCCTCAAACGAAAACCTACCTTTATCGGAGTTTTCTTATACGGTTTCTATAGGTCGAACGTATCATTCCTTGTGAAGCCAACTAGCCAAGTCATTAGGCTTTCAGTTTGTACAGGTTGGACACACCATTTCTTGTACTAAACCATTGTTTAAATTGGGGGTTGTCATAACTCATAAGGATTCAAAACCATGACCTTTCGATTCTAGGCTCTAATACCATGTTATAAACCAACCGGTTCCAATAACTCGAATTGTTGAGAAGAATTTGTTAAAACTTTTAATCTCTTACAATCCATACAATGTTTCTGGATGCGCTAAGATGACGTCGTTAGTTGCTGGTAAACGGAGTTTGTCAGCAGCCCCTACAGTTAAGTGGTTATGTGCTCTGGTGTTTATCTATATAATAATTTGGAGTTTGATATTTTAGTTATTCATTCGGCAGGCACACGTCATTAACAGCAGCTGAAAAGCCGACACTGGTGACTCTTCTTCTCCTAGGCAGATTTGTTTTTATTTATGTTACACAGAGAACGGTCCCCAAACGAGCGAATGAGTCCTTGGAGACTCAAACTTCCCTCCTCTCCTCCCTCAGTCAACTTCCATCGCCGGCGACGGATCGCACTCACCGCCGGGACTTGCCGAGCTTTCCTTCTCCCCATTCCTCAACCTCGAGGGTTCCATGCCCTGGATCATGGGCTTTATCTGCACCATCTGCCGCTACCTGGACGGGAAGCTCAATTCCCGTCGCGCTAAGGCGGATGGCGAAGCTGCCGAAACTTCCGACCTCTTCTTCGCCCTCCATACGCTTCAAGTCGCCACCAATTTCTTCTCCGACTTGAACCAGCTCGGTCATGGCGGCTTCGGTCCCGTCTACAAGGTGCGTAGCAGTGGCTCTCTGGTTGCTTTTTTCCCTTCCCCAATCCATTCAAACTCAGTAGCTGGTTGTGGCATCGTTGAATGGTGAGCATTTTACATGGTTTAATTTAGGGAGTCAGGGTTTCGTGTTGTTGATTTGGGCTCCACTTTCCGCCTGTGGGAACCCTTTGAACCTTTTTTTTTTTTTTTTTTTGTTTAGGTGTCCTGAAAGTTAAAAGGATTTGTTCATTAGTCTCCCTTTGAAATCAACCTGCAAAATTTTGTGTGTTCAAATCACTTCCAAGCGTCATTCCATTCATGTAGAGCTGTTATTTTTTCAGGGGTTGATTCCGAATGGCCAAGAAATCGCGGTGAAGAAGCTATCCTTGACTTCAAGACAAGGAGTAAGAGAATTCACCAATGAAGTGAAGTTGCTGTTGAAGATCCAGCACAAGAATCTGGTTACATTGTTGGGTTGCTGTGTGGAAGGCCCTGAGAAGATGCTTGTTTATGAGTATCTGCCGAACAAGAGCCTCGATTACTTCCTCTTTGGTAAATACCTCATGTATTGCAGAGATCATCTGTCTTTTATGTTGGGGGAAAAAGGAAAATCAGCACCTGATTGATTCTCTTCCTGATGAAATTTTGTAGATACAAAGAAAGCTTCTTCACTGGATTGGACAACAAGATTCCATATAGTTACAGGGGTGGCGAGGGGGCTTCTTTATCTCCACGAAGAAGCCCCCATGAGAATCCTTCACAGGGACATCAAAGCCAGTAATATATTGCTGGATGAGAAACTGAGTCCAAAGATATCGGATTTCGGCCTTGCCAGGTTGTTTCCGGAGGAAGACACACATGTAAACACATTTAGGATATCTGGTACTCAGTGAGTGTTTCTTCCAGTTCTCTATCATTAGGAGTTCTTTTCTCCATTTCACTTGAATGTTCAGATCCTGCAGCTTTGCTTTCCGTATGTTATGCTGCTGACAATGAACTTGATGCTGGTTGCAGTGGTTACATGGCCCCAGAGTATGCAATGCATGGATATCTTTCTGTGAAGACCGACGTCTTCAGTTATGGTATTCTACTCTTGGAAATCATAAGTGGGAGGAAGAATCTTGATCCTAGACTCGGTCCAGACAATGCTGATGTCTTGAATTCTGTAAGTTGATTCTACAGTCTGCTGCACTGCATTGACTGCTTTTGCTTGCGTTACATGCGATAGGAATGTGTAGTTTTCAGTTGTCTATTGATTGTTGAATTGAAAATGGGTACCCTGTGTATCCAATTTAGGAAAATACATGAAATGATGAAAACCATGGTTTAGTTATGCCTTACGCAATCTAAAAGGGCCCATTCATATCATACCTGTTCTCCGTGTCACGCTCTTGCTTGGATCCAATGCCAGACTCAAAGTAGCTAGCATTCCACCTGAATTTTCTATGAAGACCATTGATCTAACCCCTTCGCTGTCTTTCTTGGGTGTAACTTAAACACAGGCATGGAAACTCTATCAAGCAGGAGAGACACTGGAGTTGCTCGACCCTAGCCTCGGCGACAGTTATAACAGAGATGAAGTGGGGATGTGCATTCAAATAGGGCTACTGTGTTGTCAACAAACTGTTGTCGATAGGCCTGACATGAACTCGGTTCACCTCATGCTTTCGAGCGACTCGTTTACTTTGCCAGCACCGGGTAAACCTGGGCTGCAAGGCCGAACAGGAAGGTTGATATCTACAAATGGCACCACTTGTTGTGCATTGACCAACACTAACCCCCCTAGCACTATGGAATCCGGTGGTACCAGAGGTTCTGGAGGGAACGGTATCAATGTTGTTGATGATTATTCCCGAAACTCCATCTCTATCTCCTCCATTGATGGAGGTAGATAAAATAGGATCAAAGCCTCTACATGTTTATGTGAAGGCATAGGATGTTCTACTGTTAGTCTGTTACGTTTCCTACATTATAATTTTTTTTTTAATCATTGCATTGCATGTTAAAATACTTTAGGGTGATATTTAACTTTATTTTCATAATCTTCTTTCTTTGCAAGTTTAGGTTACTACCTGCAGTTTCGCATTTCCGTAGCAGTATCACCGTTTTCCCCCCGTCAAGCGTTAACGGCTCTTCGCCCTTGGTCGACTTTTGTTTATTTTGCCATCAGCTTTGCCGTTTCGCAAGATTTCGAGTTCGTTTCGCGCTCTAGTCTCTGCTGTACGGCTGTACCTTCTTCATGGTTTAGGGCAGAGCTTCGAGAATAGATCAAGTCAGTAACCTTATGATGAGTAACCATGAGTAACTCGTCCACATCAGCATCCTCTCTCTCTCCTAGAAAGCCTTTAATTTTCCCCTCTTTAATCTTTGACGGACGATATCTCACTCATTTTAAGTCGAAATTTAATTTTTTTTGCACAGTTAGATCAGATTAATTGTGCTCTTCAAAATGATATCCACTTTAATATATTTTTTGAACAAAAAAAATTGAGCCATTTTTTACCAGTCTATACCATATGGTATTGACTAGTATTGAAATAAAAGCATACCTATGGTTTGAAAAACGTACCATGGTGGTATGAACAAACCAAGAATGTAGGATGGTTGAATACATGATAGTAGAAGTATATTAATTGTCATTTACGACTTTTAACATTGTATACCACACAATACCACCCCGTACCAGGGTGGTATTGTATGGTATTGTGTGGTATTTTTTGGTCCTGTAATTTGTTCACCCAGAAATTTGTAGATCCAATAGAACATGATGAACTCGTCCTTTATGTGCAAACGTTTTCAAAAACGAATTAAAAACGAAGAAGATACCATACAATACCACCCCGTACCAGGTTGGTATTGTACGGTATTGTGTGGTATTTTTTGGTCTTGTAATTTGTTCACCCAGAAATTTGTAGATCCAATAGATCATGATGAACTCGTCCCTTCTGTGCAAACTTTTTAAAAAACGAATAAAAAACGAAGAAGATACCATATGATATGCAGTTGGTACCGAGAGGTCAGAATTTTTTTTTTCTCATAAAATATTGAAAATTGATCTTATTTTGTAGAGCCAATGAACTCGTTCCATCTGTGAAAAAAAAAAAAATTAAAATCCGAGTTAAAACGAAAAATATATGAGTCAATTAAGAAAACTAGAAAAAATAAAAATGATGTTTAATTTTCCTTTTTTAGGTCTGAATTTTCTAAATAAAAGGTCTAGGTGTTATGCACCCTAGTTTGAGCCCAGAGCTTCCGCGGCAGAGCATCTCTAGTCCCCGACGACGGCTTCTCCACCTCCAAAATCCCCAATCACCAGGGAATTCCCACCCGAAGCCAAAATTTATCACCAAGCTCCTCCGCCGCCGGCCTTTACATGGGGAGGAGATTCCTGAACTTCTTCACCATCGTCGGTCTAGGGAAGGGAATTCTTACCTCTCTCTCGACGGCCGTAGCTTAACAATGAGATCCAAATGGGAGCTCTGATTGTCTTTCCTGGGTCCCGTCTCCGTCTGCCTGTTCTCATTCTTCCTGTAACTCCATTTTCTTTCTTCGCTACACTTGTACATAGTCAACACAGTTAATGGAGATTGATCTCCATTCCTTCACCAGTTCTCCCCCCTTCTCTCGGTTTTCCCGAGACACGGGTAACTGTGCTTGCGACCATTCAGACTCGTTACAGTAATCACTCACGAAGCAAGCCAATGCCGTTGCTTATAAACTTTCCTGCGGCTGCGGCCATGTAATCAATTCCGCCTTCTCTCTATGGACTTTGTATGATTCAATGTGGGGTGAAGAACTGCTGCCATTGGTAACTAATCAGTAATTTGTATTCTGATATGTTCTTACGGGTGCAATTTGTTTGTTGATTGGGCTGTTCTTGGTTCTTTTTTAGATCAGGGTTCATCCTTCTGGGGCATGGTTGATAGTACTGATTCGAGTCCTCTTGCTTCAGAACTGTGGCGGGATGTTTCATTGTTGCTCTTCTCATTGTACCGCCGGTGGCCTAAACTTGTAAGTGGGTTTTGAACATTCCCCCATTGTTCCTCATTAGCAGTCACTAAATATACAAAGCCGAATTGAGTTGCAAATGTTTGATATTATCATATTATGCATTAGTGATCTTTGATTAATTGGTATCCATTTTGAGTGTTGAGTTCTGACTAGTTGCTTCCCTCTGTATTTTGTTAGGATTGCGAGTCAAGTGGATGCTTTTATTAAAGATTTTTTTTTTATCTGTTATCTCCACGGTGGACACTTCGAGGGCTCTGTATTGGTGCGTAGTTTCACATTCAACGACCTCAATAGATCTTATCCATAGTCTATTACCATATTGGAAAAAGCTACAACTAGGAAACAATGTAGGTAGCCTGATGAGATCAGAATGTGCTGAGCCTCATCAAGATCAGTTGTGCTCCTTATGGTGATTTGGGTGATGTAACAAACTACCAAACTTTGTGTACTTTGCTTTTATAATTCTTTTCTTTAGCAAGAATAAGATTCACTCCTCTTAGAATGTAACTTCAATACCAAGTTCGTTAATGGACAAAACAGTTTGCTTTCTGTATATAGCAAGGGGAAGAAATGCTGGTCTGTGGTGCTATTATTACATGTTTTAATTTTTTTGTGATTTTTATTTTTCCACAAACATATAGAATGATCTGATATCCCGCAGAATTAACTCAGTGATGCTGAGAAATTCTTTCAAGTGTGTGTTGTGCATGTAATGGGGCCGGTTGGGGCCTGATCTGTTGTGTTTTTGTTAAAACCCACAGATTTTTAGTTTCTCAGTGGCTTGATCATATGACTCTGATTTTGCAGGGGTCTAGTTTCTCCCATGTCACCCGGAGCAATGTACCTAGGGCTTGTCATATTGTCATCGTGATTAGATAACGTAATTCAAGTCTGATTCAGCAATGAATTCCTTCCAGGCAAAGTGAATGAGCACTTACGATCAAGTACACTGTATCCTGAGAATCAATGATGTATGAATCCTCGATTGTTGCTTAGCATAAACTACCATGAGTATATATGAGGATGTTGTTGATTCTTGATTAAGATGCTTTCTATTTGATGTTTTAGAGCGGAGTTACATGAAACTGACTACCCACAAGGCAGAAGTGTTGGCTGTGTAAGCTAGACTAAAAAAAGAGCTTCTTGGATTGGATACAGCAGTCGCAGATGATGCCTTCCACAAAGCCTATGTCAGGGTGTGATTCAGGATCCTTTCGATGCAATGCAGAGCCACACTCATCATCTTCTCTGGGACTTCACTGGGAAGTGCCCGTTCAGGCTCTTATCCATCCAACTCTGCACCCTATCCTCGTCCTCTTCGTCCTCGCCGATGCTGGCAAGATTGAACACCAGTAAGCAGCTCCTACAGAAGCAATCAAATGCGTACACATCCGATTCTGTGTTCCTGATGCCCCTTCATGTCAGCCAAGCACTGGGCCTCTTGGTTCTCTTCAATCAACTTTGTCGTCGTCTTTCACCAGCCGCCAATGTGGTCTTCATCGTCGCCAGCACTAGCCTCCCAGACAGCCTGGGCGAGGCCAAATTTGCAGATCACTGGTCTGACTGCGCCAGGCTAATGAGAAATGGTGGAAGTAGTAGTATTGTTGTTGTACTCCAGAAAGTGAGGATCACGTTGGAGCTCTTGATACGATTGTGAACAAGGACGGTGTCCAATCTGGTTATGTGGTGGACGTAGTTCAGGCGGCGAGCCACTCCCAGGGGGATTTCGATCCTCCACTGTCATGCCGAGACGAACAAGCATAGAGATTGTTATTGTTACTAGTCTTCCTTGCCCGCGCTCCGCACTTGGACTTGAGGAAAAACAACAAAGCATATTTCATACTATATAATTAGAGGTTGTGCAAATGAGGGTATAGATACAAACATTATAAACATATACAATCTAGTGTTAACTATTCATTTTCAAGTCATAACCGTTGAAACATTTACAAAGCTTGAATAGTATTTTAGCAAAGTTCTGATATGGGTATCCAGGTGACCACTTGGTATAATTGAGATATATAAATTAGCTACAAAATATTTAAAAGGACCACCACTATCTAAATTTCAAAATAAAATACTTATTGGGCATGAGAAAAAGATAGTTTAGAAACTTCTTAAATGGCCAGCAGCATCAACTGTTATATCTTTCTACATGTAACATTCAAAACAGGATAATTGTAACAACAAAGTTACAACGAAGGAGGACATTGTCCAAAAGCCAAAGCAAACTCTTTATCCTCAAGCCATGAGACAACAAATAATCATAACAGGATGAGCACAAAGGCTTCCATTTGTACACATGGCAACATAAAAATTACAAACCATCACCATGACAAACTCGCTATCGATATCTGTTTGTTCTCTCCCAAAAACCAACCTCCTTCCCTGTCGTTCAAAACTCCAATTCTAAAAATTGAAGAATCGGAATCAAATCAGTGTCCATAAAAATTAAACAGAAGTAACCTCAACACCAGAATCTGTTTCCCAGTCAAATAATACGAGGATCCACATCCAAGAACATAAAAGAAATAGAATGGATAAGCAAAAACAATAGAAAAATTGGACTCGACAAAACTGCTTAGCAATTAACCGGAGCTTACCATTCATCCTAGTTAGAAGCTCCAGCTCCGTATCAAGGTCGATATCGTCACTATCATCAATATCGTCACTATTATCAATAAGAAAATCCTTAGGCTTGTTATCCAGGAACTTGTTCAGAAATACTGTAATGAAAGGAACATAGGAGTTTGTCGCTAGGTATTTGACCAAATAGGATCATCACTACTGCATGATTGCAACCTCACTGTAGGCATGGAAGTTGTGTAACAGAAAACTTAGACGGTTGCAGCAAAAAGTTTAAAGCTACTCATACGACATTGGCCAAAGCTTCTTTTTCAATAATAACAATTGAGCTACTCTTAGAACTTAGGCCAAAGCTATAAAACAGTTCTTAAAAGTGAAACTGAAAAGCAAGCTGACAAATATAAAACCAACGTACCTGACAATAATTTCAAAAATAAATTAGAGCAAACAAGAGAACTAAATTTGGATTGTTGGTTCAACACTAATCACTGATAAATTATCAACACTAAACATCAATTCCTATAAATCAGAGAAAGGGACAAACCGTATATGTTAAAACCACCACAGCATGAACGATTATAGAAGAAAGGTAGCATCTAGTTGTAAATTAGTCTCCATGTTGAGCCTGTCTTAATTAGCCACCTGCAGATCGAAGCAAAACAAACCAAGACGAAAGGAAGTAAATAGATTGGACAAAGATTAAGAGGAGATCACAAACAAATTTTGATGACACAGACTATGCAGAAAGCAAGAGCAAGAAGAGCAAAGAGTCTAAACTACTGAAGTCAGAAACAGAAAGAAGCATATACCGACAATGAAGATTGAATATTATTTCGAACCGTGGCGATGACATCCTGGACACAAATCTGCATGCCGCTAGCGTAAAAATCCCAGCTGCAAAACTAAGAAACAGAAGAATAAATCAATTAGCATACCTAACACAAATATAATCACAGAGGGAAAGACAGAGAACATAACCTGCAATCCTGTAAAATCAGTGTGCTTGGCTCACTGGTGCGGAGACAGTCAGAGGGTTCTTAATTCAACAGACCCCTACATCCTTGTGGAGGAGGAAACACCCACAAAACCCATGAGAAAGCAAACAATTTTAGATCCCAAAACTACATGCTAATATATATTCTTCTCCAGACTCCATAAATTCTTAAATCGGCCACTCATCGCTTTGAAGGGCACAACATTCTCAACAATGGCAGATGAACTAACTGCTATTAGCGATGAAATCCAACTGAAAGTAGAACAAATCATCGTCAGTATGAGCACACACAAAAAAAAGAGAGAACAAAACTCTTGAATGACAAACAGAAGGAACAACATCTCCATACCAGAACAAAAAACTGTGGATGCGGGTATTCTTCGAAACCTCTCCCCCTGTCCCTCAAATCTGCCATTGATCGCTTCTAGATCCAATTATCTCCCAAGCTGAGGTAAGAAATTCCAACGCAGATAGAAGAAGTGAGTGAAAGAGAGAGTTAAAAGGGAAAACTTTAAACAATATCGATTTTGAGAGTGATGGAAACCTGCGTTGAGAGAGGAATTGCAAAATGCCTTGTCCGAGTCTCTCACTGGGTAGGTTGAACGGAAGTAAACCTATCATCCATCCAGTCAACCACCTGAAATCAAAGAAAGAGCCGACGGATCTGGATGATAACTGGAACCAGAAGATAAATCAACGACGGCTCTGGATCTCCTCCGGATTCACTCTAATCCTCTCAAACATGCCTCCAGATCGCTTTCAACCCCACCCATAATTCCAAAAAAGAGAGATGAGAAAAACAACAAAGAGAGAAAAATGAGACTAAGAACTTTGTAAGAGTAGAGAGAAAGTAGGTTTTGTGAAGGCAGACCCTTAAGGAAGAAGGGGCTGCTGTTCTCTGTTTTTATATAACGGCATAATCAAGTTTAAAGCTACTAAACAAACTTAGCCACGTGTCACATAAACACTGGCAATTACATAACTGAAATTACTGTTGATTAACGGCTAGCATAACTAAACCACACGACTGCGTTTTGTCTAAATGCTGAAGCCTTTCCATTGAAACGTCACCGTCTTCTCTTCACTCCATTCTCGGGCTTCATCTTCTCAATCCTTTCTTCCCAAGGATTCAGCAACAGGATGTTGACACCCCCCTTCAAGTTGTGGATGCCATTTTGATTCCCAACTTGACAAGCAACTCCTTCAGTCGTGTGCTGTCCAAAGCCTTGGTAAACAGGTCTGCAAGTTGATTCAAAGTTCCAACATGATGCAGCTTTATCAAACCAGATTTGATCCTCTCCCTTGTCACATGCATATCTATTTCTATATGTTTGGTTCTCTCATGGAACACTGGATTCTCAGCAATATGTATTGCTGAACGATTATCACAGAATATAGATATAGGCAGTGGAACCTGCACACTCAATTCAGCTAGGAGTGTTCTCACCCATTGCACCTCACATACCAATAGAGCCAAAGCTCTATATTCAGCTTCTGATGATGATCTTGAGACAGTTGTCTGCTTCTTTGTCTTCCAAGTCAGTAATGAACTTCCTAGGAAAGTGCAGTAACCTGTAGTTGATCTCCTGGTATCAGGACAACTCGCCCAATCTGAATCACAGTAGCCTGTCAACTTAAGTTCTGCTTGACTACTGAAATGTATTCCCTGTCCAGGTGAATTCTTCAGATACCTTAAGACTTTGTAGGCTGCTTGTAGATGTTCTGTGTGGGGATCTTTCTGGAATTGGCACAATTGCTGGACTGCATAGGTTAGATCAGGCCTGGTGATGGTTATATAATGCAACCTCCCAATCAGCCTTCTATATGATTCAGGATCATTCATTCTTGTTCCTTGTTCTACTGTCAATTTGGTCTTGGTATCTGCTGGTATCACAGTTCCCTTAGCTTCCAGGTATCCTGTTTCTTCCAATAGATCCAAGCAGTATTTCCTCTGACAGACAGATAACCCTTCATCATTCCTTGTCACCTCCAATCCCAAGAAATACTTCAAAGGACCTAAGAGCTTGATCTTAAACTCCTTACTTAAAGCCTTTTTGACCTGCTCAATATCCTTAGGTGCATCTCCAGCCACTATTATGTCATCTACATACACTAGCACTACTACATTTCTTCCTCGAATCCACTTGGTAAACATAGAATAGTCTGAACTTGACTGTGAAAAACCACTCCTGAGTAGGAAGTTGGTTAACTTAGCAAACCATTGCCTAGAGGCTTGTTTTAAGCCATACAAGGACTTTTTCAAACGACAAGCTACCTGTCCTGAACAGGATGGTGGAAGTTCAACTCCCAATGGTACTTTCATGTACACTTCTTCAGTCAAATCACCTTGCAAGAAGGCATTTGAAACATCCATCTGTTCAAGACTCCAGTTCTTCACTGCTGCCACTGCCAATAAAGCTTTAACAGTGTTTATCTTTGCCACAGGGGAGTAGGTGTCCAAGAAGTCTATGCCATAGACCTGTGTAAAGCCTTTTGCCACCAATCTGGCTTTATATCTTTCTATGGTTCCATCAGGTCTCAATTTTACTTTGAACACCCACTTATACCCAATTGCTCTTTTGTTCTGTGGCAGTGGAACAACATCCCATGTCTGGTTTTCTTCCAGTGCTGCCAACTCCTCATCAATTGCTCTTTTCCATTCAACATGCTTTACTGCTTCTTCATAGCTGATTGGTTCCATCTGTGTGATTACACTCAAAGCATATTTTCTATCTTCTATGCTAAGATGGTCCACTTCCAAGCATATAGGATACTTGGTGGCTGCTGCAGCTGTGCCAAATGCACCAAACTTCAGTCTTGTGTCTAATTCACAGTCTTGCAACTTGGCAGGAAGTTTGTGAGTGCGAGAAGGTCTGGCTGGTGGATCAAAATCAGCTTGAGGTTCCAATTCAGAATCATGTTCAACATAAACTGGTGATCCAGGATCCTGAGGTGAAGAAGAAGAAGGAGAAGAAGGTTGAATGTGAGAAGCAGACTGAGGTGAGGTTACCCCCCCCATCAGCAGAAGGTGAGTGAGGTGAAGGATGGGAAATAGGAATTTGGATAGGTGGAGCAGAAAAAGAAGGAGAAGAAGAAGAGGGTATAGCAAGTGAGGGCTCAGAGGCTGGAATCATGTTCCTGAAAGGCAGAATGGACTCATGGAATACTACATCTCTGGAAACAAAAACACGATGGTCATCCAGAGATAATAGTTTATAACCTTTGATGCCCTGAGGAAAGCCTAACAGCACACATTGCTTGGCCCTTGCTGCAAATTTAGTTCTGCCATGAGTAAGAGTGCTTGCATAACAGAGGCTCCCAAAAACTCTTAAGTGGCCAAGGAAAGGAGGTTTGTTGTATAACATTTCATAGGGAGATTTGTTGTGTAAAACTGGTGTAGGGAGTCTATTGATAAGGTAGACTGAGTGAAGAACGCAATCACTCCAGTAATGCAAAGGTAAACCAGACTGAAACCTTAAAGAACGAGCCACATTTAAAATGTGTTGATGCTTCCTTTCTACCCTAGCATTCTGCTCAGGGGTTTCAACACAAGACATTTGATGTTCAATGCCATGTTCCAAGTAAAAATCACACATGTTGAACTCTTTCCCTTGATCACTACGAACTGTTTTCACTGATTTCCCAAACTGATTATGTACCAAATGACAGAAGCCTTTTAAGAGTTCCCTGGTTTCACTTTTGTGTTTCATTAAAAACACCCATACTGCTCGAGAATAATCATCAACCACAGTAAGAAAGTAAGCAAATCCATCATAGGAATGAACAGAAAGTGGCCCCCAAATGTCTACATGGATCAATTGGAATAAATCATGTGCATGACTAGTGCTGACAGGAAAGGGTAAACGTTTGTGTTTGGAATAATGGCAAACATCACAATGAGAAACTTTAGTACTAGTTACAGTGGAATCAGTTTGCTGTAACAAGGAAATCCTATCACTACTGGGATGGCCTAATCTCCAATGCCAAAGATCAAATTGTTGGGTACTAAAGTTGAGGGTTGCAGCTGCTTGTGGTGGTGTTGGGAGGTTGGCTGGTGCTGGTGATGATTGAAAGGTGAGTTGGTAAAGGCCTCTAGACTCTCTTGCCAAACCAATCATCCTCCTGCTGAGTAGGTCCTGGATTTGGCATAAATCAGAGTGAAAGTGTAAGGCTAGGGGAAAATCTTTGGTAAGTTTACTAACTGACGCAAGGTTGAAAGAAAAACTGGGGACAAGGAGAACATTATACAGGTAAAGGCCAGAAGGTAATTTGACTGTCCCTATATGTGTAACATGAACCTTAGCACTATTAGGAAGATGAACATAAGTGTTTTGAACTGACTTGTGCTCAACAAACAATGCTAAGGAACAGGAGATATGGTCAGAAGCTCCTGTATCAAGAATCCAAAAATGAACTAAATTGGTAGGTTTGGATTCACTATAGGTAGACAGGACATATTTACCTGAATAGTTGGGGAATGGTGGCATGTATTGGGACACAGAGTAAGCATTATGGGTAATGGAAGGGGAAAGTGGTGGTGAGGGTGTTGTGCCAGCACTAGATTGCATCATTTGCCTCAATCTGTTCATCTCCTCAGGAGTAAAGCCA